GCTTAATGGTAGTTTCAAATGAGCACATACCTTGACATGATCTTGAAGGGGTTCAAGATGGATCAGTCAAAGAAGGAGTACTTGCCTGAGTTGTAAGGTATGAAGTTAAGACTTAAAGCTCAACCACGGCAGAAGAAAGAGAAAGGACGAATGTCGTCCCCTATGCTTTTGTCATAGGCTCTATACGGTATGCCATGCTAAGTACCGCACCTGATGTGTGCCTTGCCACATATCTGGCAAGAGGGTACAAAGGTAATCTAGGAGTAGATCACCAGATAGCGGTCTAAATTATCCTTAGAGGAATAAGGATATGTTTCTTGGTTATGGAGGTGATAAAGAGTTCGACGTAAAGTGTTACGTCGATGCAAGCTTAACACCTATCCGGATAGCTCTGAATAGAGATACCGGATATGTATAATGGAGCAACAATTTAGAATAGCTCCAAGTAGAACAGTTATTTGAAATGGCTCCAAATATAGCGTAGTAGCTGCATCTACAAGATGACATAGAGATTTGCGAAGTACATACGGATCTGAAAGATTCAGACCCGTTGACTATAACATCTCTCACAAGCATAACATGATCAAACCCAGAACTCATTGAGTCTTAATCACATGATGATGTGAACTAGTTTAGTGACACTAGTAAACTCTTTGGATGTTGGTCACATGGCGATGTGACCTGTGAGTGTTAATCACATATCGATGTGAACTGGATTATTGACTCTAGTGCAAGTGGGAGACTGTTGGAAATATGCCCTAGAGGCAATAATAAATTAGTTATTATTATATTTCCTTGTTCATGATAATCGTTTATTATCCATGCTAGAATTGTATTGATAGGAAACTCAGATACATGTGTGGATACATAGACAACACCATGTCCCTAGTAAGCCTCTAGTTGACTAGCTCGTTGATCAATAGATGGTTACGGTTTCCTGACCATGGACATTGGATGTCATTGATAACGGGATCACATCATTAGGAGAATGATGTGATGGACAAGACCCAATCCTAAGCCTAGCACAAAGATCGTGTAGTTCGTTCGCTAAAGCTTTTCTAATGTCAAGTATCATTTCCTTAGACCATGAGATTGTGCAACTCCCGGATACCGTAGGAGTGCTTTGGGTGTGCCAAACGTCACAACGTAACTGGGTGACTATAAAGGTGCACTACGGGTATCTCCGAAAGTGTCTGTTGGGTTGGCACGAATCGAGACTGGGATTTGTCACTCCGTGTGACGGAGAGGTATCTCTGGGCCCACTCGATAGGACATCATCATAATGTGCACAATGTGATCAAGGAGTTGATCACGGGATGATGTGTTACGGAACGAGTAAAGAGACTTGCCGGTAACGAGATTGAACAAGGTATCGGGATACCGACGATCGAATCTCGGGCAAGTATCGTACCGCTAGATAAAGGGAATTGTATACGGGACTGATTAAGTCCTTGACATCGTGGTTCATCCGATGAGATCATCATGGAACATGTGGGAGCCAACATGGGTATCCAGATCCCGCTATTGGTTATTGACCGGAGAGTGATCTCGGTCATGTCTACATGTCTCCCGAACCCATAGGGTCTACACACTTAAGGTTCGGTGACGCTAGGGTTATAGAGATATTAGTATGCGGTAACCCGAAAGTTGTTTGGTGTCCCGGATGAGATCCCGGATGTCATGAGGAGTTCCGGAATGGTCCGGAGGTAAAGAATTATATATAGGAAGTGCTATTTTGGCCATCGGGACAAGTTTCGGGGTCACCGGTATTGTACCGGGACCACCGGAAGGGTCCCAGGGGTCCACCGGGTGGGGCCACCTGCCCCGGGGGCCACATGGGCTGTAGGGGGTGCGCCTTGGCCTACATGGGCCAAGGGCACCAGCCCCTAGAGGCCCATGCGCCAAAGGGACAAGAGGAGAGGAGAGTCCTAAAGGGGGAAGGCACCTCCGAGGTGCCATGGGGAGGATGGACTCCTCCCCCCCTTGGCCGCACCCTTCCTTGGAGGAAGGGGCAAGGCTGCGCCCTCCCCCTCTCCCTTGGCCCTATATATAGTGGGGGGAAGGGAGGGCAGCAACACCGAAGCCCTGGGCCTCCCTCTCCCTCCCATGACACATCTCCCTCCTCCCGCAGCGCTTGGCGAAGCCCTGTTGGAATCCCGCTACTTCCACCACCACGCCGTCGTGCTGCTGGATCTCCATCAACCTCTCCTTTCCCCTTGCTGGATCAAGAAGGAGGAGACGTCGCTGCTCCGTACGTGTGTTGAACGCGGAGGCGCCGTCCGTTCGGCGCTAGGATCATCGGTGATTTGGATCACGACAAGTACGACTCCATCAACCCCGTTCTCTTGAACGCTTCCGCGCGCGATCTACAAGGGTATGTAGATCCACTCCTCCCTCGTTGCTAGATGACTCCATAGATAGATCTTGGTGACACGTAGGAAAATTTTGAATTTATGCTACGTTCCCCAACAGATGGAACCATTGATCGTTACAAAGCTAGACTCGTTGCAAAGGGGTTCAAACAAAGATATGGTATTGACTATGAGGACACATTTAGTCCAGTTGTTAAAGCTGCTACCATACGCCTTGTCTTGTCCATTGTTGTGTCTAGGGGATGGAGTCTACGACAGCTAGATGTTCAGAACGCGTTCCTCCATGGTGTTCTGGAAGAAGAGGTTTACATGAAACAACCTCCTGGGTTTGTAAATGCACATGCACCGCTTCATGTGTGCAAACTTGACAAGGCCTTGTATGGACTGAAACAGGCCCCAAGAGCATGGTATTCTCGCCTCAGTAAAAAGATGCAAACACTTGGTTTTGTTCCTTCAAAGTCTAACACTTCGTTATTTATCTATAACAAGTCAAGAATATCCATATTTGTTCTCATTTATGTTGATGATATAATTGTAACAAGTTCATCTGATGAAGCAATAACAGCATTGTTGAAGGATTTAAGTGCAGAGTTTGCTCTAAAGGATATAGGAGATCTACACTACTTTCTTGGTATTGAGGTCAAACAACACAAGGATGGTCTTCACCTCTCTCAAGAAAAGTATGCAACAGACTTGGTAAAAAAGGCTGGTTTGCAAAGTTGTAAGTCTGCACCTACTCCTTTGTCTAGCACAGAAAAATTGTCTCTTGTTGAAGGAGAGCCTCTGAATTCAGAAAATAGTACAAAATACAGGAGCCTGGTAGGTGCACTTCAATACTTAACATTGACTAGACCAGATATTTCTTTTATTGTCAATAAAGTATGTCAGTTTCTTCATGCACCTACCACTGTTCACATGACTGCTGCAAAACGTATAGTAAGATATGTGAAAAACACGTTGAACATTGGCCTAAGCTTCAGCAAGTCATCCTCTGCACTTGTCAGTGCCTTTTCTGACTCGGACTGGGCTGGGTGTCTAGATGATAGACGCTCAACTGGTGGTTTTGCGGTATTCTTTGGACCAAATTTGATATCTTGGAGTGCAAGAAAGCAAACCACAGTTTCAAGATCCAGTACAGAGGCAGAATACAAAGCATTGGCTAATGCAACAGCAGAGATCATATGGGTGCAGTCAATTTTAAAGGAACTAGGTATAAAAAGCACTAGAGCTCCATGTTTGTGGTGTGATAATCTAGGTGCTACCTATTTGTCAGCAAATCCAGTCTTTCATGCTAGGACCAAGCACATTGAAATAGATTTTCACTTTGTTCGAGAAAGAGTTGCAAATAAGCTTTTGGATATTCGGTTTATTCATTCTCAAGACCAAGTTGCTGATGGTTTTACCAAAGCTCTGCCTACAAGAAGTTTTGAAGACTTCAAGCATAATCTCAACCTAATGAAGTTGTGATTAAGGAAGGGTGTCAAACATGATGATAATATTGCGCATGCATTACGTGTACAAGGAGGAGTTCACCACCGTTGGAAGTAGTTAGTTAGATGAGTATCTTGTAATCTTTATCTTCTCTATCTCTAGCTTTTCTTCCTTTCCAAGATGTAATCTCCTAACCGACTTGTACGCGTATTTGGGCTCGCAACCCCGCTATATAACACGCAACACGTCTGCCAGGATAGGCAAGACGTTTACCGCAAGTCGCACAGCACTTACATTCACTGCAAATAAGAAATGTCAGTATATGTTAAGAAGTCATAGATTATTTAAATTCATGCTTGATTTTCTCAGTATAGCATGGTTGGAAGTCCCTAATGCATAAATACCCATTGAAAGACATTATTCAACTTAAGTCACTAGAAAAATAAATCAAATCTTAGTCAATCTGAATAGTAAATCCAAATATAGTTTTTGGAATATTCTTTAAGCTAATTGAAATATGAGTCTCCCATGCTATCTGAAGGTTCAAAACCAGAAAAGATCAAATCACCTTGAACTCAGTACAATTCTCTTCAGAACTTGATACACTTGCCCCTTTTTCTTTCGGCGTTCACAAATAGCTTCCTGGCATTTCTGAAGAATATCTTCCATACTTATGTTCATTTCATCCAGTTGCTTCTATACGGGCACATAATTATTTCTTCAACATAAAATCTTGATGATATTGCTGAAACAACGATAATATTTGAGAAGTAGGAGAAAATACCTTGTCAAGGTGAATATGGCCAACAAGACAATGTGTTGCTTCCATATTTTGGTGTTGATACCTGAAACAAGACAATGATTCTGAGCCTAGCACCATATACGCTGAAATGTGTAAGAAGTACTCCCTCCGTAAACTAATATAAGAGTGTTTAGATTACTACTTTAATGATCTAAACGCTCTTATATTAGTTTACAGAGGGAGTAGTTACTTATGAATGCTACATACTGGACTGAGAACTCAGTAGCACAGTCTTCTACTTTGGTCCTCTTTAAGCAGGCTTGAACTGCTAGTGATGCTCTTTCCGTGCAAAAATTATTCCCACAAGAGCATTTACTCAGATACAAGATTATTTTTTGGTCATTTTCATTTCGAGAGCTAGCTCTTGTAAGTAGCACTTCCTGTAAATTCAAAGATCAGGAGTCAAAACATGTGAACTGGAGTCTTAGATGGAACTGTTCAATTGAGCCTCTTACCTTCATCGAGTCCCAGGAGGTCATGTTGTTCTGATTTGGATCTAACACCACCTTGTATGCAGCATTTGCAACTGCAGTGGCTGCCAAGATACCAACAGGATCTCCTGGTGTCACATAACTCGATGATTCTGTCGAGTCAAACTCAGCAACTGAATTTCCACACGAGTTTCTTATGGTTCCATCATAGCATGCTACAACATCTCGGAGCATTGCAATCATGTCCTTGAAGAGAGTGCCCGGCTCCATTAGTCCTTTAGATGCGTGTATTATCTTCTCCCTTGCAGATATCGAATGGAGTAGGTCCTCATATGGGTTCAGTCCCTTGTAAAATGAGCTTCTGATAAAACCATGTGCCTCCAAAGGATGGCCACCGTTGCTGCTGCTGCCACATTTGCTCAGTGACTTGGATAGGCAATCCTCCACTAAGCTGCTAGAGTATAATCTTCCGTTGCACTGCAGCTGAGTTCCCAAGAAACCAATCTGCTCCACTACTTTGTTCATGGCAGAGTCACTCTTTTGATCAACCAACAAACGAATATCAGAAGAAGAAGCGATGAAGTCCACAATTGGTTTCCGTAACTTGTCAAGATTAAGTGCCTTATGCTGAATCATCTCTGGTATTGAATTTTCGACAGTGAAGTCTCTCAGATTTATACTGAAGCCATCAATAGATAATGATTCCATCAGCAGGGGCTGCAGAAGATTCAGAAATTCTACGGCCTCCTTTGGACTCATCGTTGACAAAACTGATGAGATGGTGATTGTGCCAGTAACCAAGTCTCTGACTAACATTCTGTTCTCCTCTGGCAGTAATGTTTCTAGAATCTGAGCAAAAGTCCACTTTGGTCCACCTGATAGTTGCTTCTTGGGAATCAACCCTCCCGTGAACATTGCATTTATAAGTTGAAAGTTCAGTTTAGCACTGTGAGAGCTCACCAGCTGCTTCTCCACCGTGAAGAGCTCTGTAGCTTCAGCCCTTGCTGACACTGACCTTGGGAAGAATATGTGGACACAATCACCATCGAAATCAGCTCCAAGTGGTCCACATATGAGTGGGTTGATCTTGATGGTGTGATCACTATGAACATGGGCATACATTCCTTGGACTGAGTGCTTGTCGGTGCTTGGTGGCCTATTGATAAATACAGTATCTCCATCTAGAATTCTGCGGTTGACCGTTTCACCAACCTTCAGCATGATGCGTTTCTTATTTGCTTTCCCCACATCCAAGGAGTGCGTGATGGAATTAGCATCTTCATGTGTCAGACAAAGACCTCTATCCAGCATGCCTTGCAGCTGAGCAATGTTGTACTCTGTCACATGCACTTGTACCGACATCTGTCTTGCTACTTCGTCAGGCACTCCTACCACATTCATGGGAATGTATGTGTCACCCGTGATCACACCACGGCATGAAAATCTTGACCTCTTGCTGATACAGAGCGACTTCATCTTCTGCTGCCATTGTTTTGTTGCAGGCTGACTTGTGAAGGTGACATCTTGAGTTGAGGGCCCTTCAAAAGATATATACATGAAGACACGTTATCAACATACAGTTATTTGAATCTTCTCCATTATTTTCCGAACCTAAGAAACAGAGGAACAAAATGTGAGTATCTCCTAGTAGTTCCTATTCATTAATTCTTGAAGTATTTATTGATTTGTCTCACTGTGACCATTTCTAATGCAAAGTACAGCAACAAAGTTCTGAGGATTTTGCTACGAGGGGAACAATTCTCTGTCTAGTACTAGCTAGTACCTCTTCTGTGAATAAACGGCGGCAGTGAGATCTGCCCTTTGTGTGAACAAACTGATCGAGGAAGCTCCAAAATCCCTCTTCCAGTTCTTTCCTGGATGGCACTCTCAGTTCCAAGGTAAGGGCTCCATTGGGTTTCTCGACTTTTGCAACATGTAGCGGTGGGAGATCCTAGAAAGAGAGGATTGCAGAATTTGGCAAAAGAAATAATAGTGGCTGGTTAGTTAGATAGAGGGATTAAGAGAAACAATAGTCCAATTAAAATAATAAACCATGGCAAAACATAATTAATTGGTGCTTGTACTGTACACATGGCATGCTCCTCAGAAACCTACAACTAGGAACTAACACCAGCCAGCCACTAATAACTTTGACTGTAAGCTACTAATAACTTAACTAAGATACTAATAAACCTACAACTAGGAACTAACACCAGCCAGCCACTAATAACTTTGACTGTAAGCTACTAATAACTTAACTAAGATACTAATAAACCTACAACTAGGAACTAACACCAGCCAGCCACTAATAACTTTGACTGTAAGCTACTAATAACTTAACTAATAGTCTTAATTTGAGCGGATATTTGTACTGTTTGAGGGTTTGGGTAATGTGGTGGAATTTAGTGATAACAAATGTGTAGGATACTGTACTATGTGTGTTAAGCAAAGCATGACAGACAATAGTCTTAATTTAATTGGCTACTGAACTATGCGTGTTAAACAAAGCATGACATCTGCTTCCTTTTGAGATAATTGATACTGTAGGTGGTGATGCATTCATTTTAAACTCTACACCTGTTGTTTTCAAGTTGGAGCGGAAAACTTTCTGGCAAAATACATGTTATGCTAGGTTCACTTGCATATTTCAGCTCATCATCTTCCGGCTAATGCCATCTCTGCTGTAGCAATTTTTGGGGAAGAAGAAGCACCATCACCGTTTCATTTATTGATGTATCTATCAGTCGATTCGCCTACCTTGGGATCCTTTCAGGGAATTAGAGTAGACAACATATGTAAGTTCATATTATGAAGACCAATCAGGCCCTACTAATGCGATCTTAAAGGAGACTTTAACAGTCTGGTCTTCTTCATCAGTTACCACTTAATTACCTGACAGTATGAACATGAGGTGAAGTCGCTCTCCTTTCCCTTGCTTTTCCGCTTCTGTTGCGAAATTGAGAAACTCTGTATTAATACTGGCATCTAAACATCACCGATCAAAGTACTCCTGGGCTGGGCAGGGTTTAGTTTCTGCATGTAGTACCTTGCAGTTCTTGAACTGGAGGCAGCTGACGCAGATCATGTTGAGTATCTTGGTCAGCTCGGCAATATGGCTCGGATGGTAGACGGACACGGGCAGCTTGATGAACCCGAAATGACCTTGAGCCAGCCATGAGAAGATGAGTTTGCCAGAAGAAAAAAATGAAGATGCAGCATGCACACATATGGGTACTGTCTCTGATTCAGAATCGTATGTTCCTATAAAGTGATCTAGCCAAGGTCTAGTTATGCTATGTTCAGTAAACTGACTTGGCTGAACATTTTCCAGGTGGAAAGAGAAGCTATTGTTGCAGCCAAGTTTTTTGAGTATCACACAAAGCTCAGGAACACGAGGCATCTCTCAGTTGAGATAAATGCTGCTGCAGAATTGTTTTTACCAAAAATGTATAACACTCAAGTGAGTACTCAGCTCAGCTGTGACCATATCATATCCAGCTACCTAGGTAACTAGTTATTTTGCGATAAATTGAACTTGTTTGAATACCGTTCAGTTTGGTTTCTGTCTAGTTTCAGGAGCCTGAAAAATTGTCCCAAATTCAGTTCACACACACTGACTAACTGACTGAACCATGTTTGGCAGGATTATCACACACTGACTAACTGACTGAACCATGTTTTGCAGGATTATCACACACTGACTGAACTAGCTAGCTGACCAAAAAAGTTTTAGCTGCATGTCCGTAGTGCCACTACTGTCTATATTCATCACTTAACCGAAGAGACACTGTTGAAGAAAAATCAATCAATTACCTTCGCATTTGGCGAGGTCCGTTGCGCCGCAGGAGTCGCAGCAGCCGAGCTGCAACGGCAGGCCCAGCGCCCGGTTTGCGGCCAGCTGGCTCGGGTGCGTCACCGGGAACTCCTCGTTCATCGGCTGCGCCCTCACCTGCAATGCAATCGTTGATTAATGTTGTTAATTAATTTGATGATTGCTTTCTTTGTGTCCTTGTGTAGGCAGTGCAAGATGAAGAACAAGGAGGAGGAGGAGATGAAGACGCCATGGCATCAGTGGCGATTCCACTAGGGGGGCTTCAATAGGCTGATGCCTACCCTCCAAAAATCATATTTCAGCTAAACATGCAACTTGAGAATTATACTGAGGTGTTTAACATGTAAACTGCAATGAATTTGCTCGGTAGACTTAGAAACTTGATGTTTTGAGCCTACCCTTCAATTTTGTGCAAGATTCGCCACTGCATGGCATGGTTGTTGGAATGAAGCTGGGCAGAGTGATTACCATCTCCACGTTGGAGGCGACGGCGAGCCTGATGCAGGTGACGGTGTCCTCCGCGACGAATGCAGGGTCGTCGCCGGTCTCCATGGCTGGCGCCGCCACAGTGCTCGGGGACCGATGGATGGATATATGGATGGATGGATGTGATGAAGCGCGCGGCTGGCCGGCGGGAAGAAAGTTGGGTGAGAGTGAGAGCGAGGGAGCTGCGCTGAGCTAGTGGTGTTTGTCACTCACCGGGAGAGATCGAACTCCGCTGATATTAACCGCAAGTAAGGTAGTGCACCCAACACGTACGTACGTACGTTGGGAATGACATGTGCATGCACGCTTGATCGATCTTTACCCAGTGAACGAAATGAAAAAAGGAGAGGTTAATTCTCTCTTTCCCTCCTGTCACGTTTTCCATGTTGAGATGCATGAGAGAGATGGGTGTGGCGATTTTTTTTTCATATATGAGGAAAAAGTATTTGGACGACTCAGACAAAACAAATAAATTAATTAAGGTGACGCCTAGTTCTTATTCCTCTTGATCATTTTCTTTTTGCGGGGTTGAGAAGGGTCTTAAAAAAAGAAGGAACACGGCCCCAAAATGAACTCTGTATGAACAGTAAAATCAAAAAAAAGAATAAACATTCAAAAAAGAATTCTGATTTTTTTAGCAAATCATGGACAAATGTTCCGAATGCTTGCCAGGATTTCCATGAATGTTAGCCCATGATGAAACTTTGCAATTGCAAGCACTAAGAACATTTGTCACTGTTGCTACAAATAGAATTCAGATTTTTGTTTTTTTTTGAATTTTACTGTTCAATCGAACTCATATGAGCTCGAGCTCAAATAATTCGCATCCGGAACATGACATATATACTCATGAGAGTGATGGTCAGAGGCAGTGGCGGATCCAAGACCCAGGCCGAGGGGGCCTGGGCCTGAGGCATGAAGTAAGTACTTCGTTCGACGTAGCATCTCGGGCACTTTAGCGGCACTGTAGTAAGCCCGGGGCTTGGCTCAATCCTGGCTCTGACCCTGGTCAGAGGAGTACACCACACCACTCCTGACCATCGCGTTGATGCACCATGCACCCTATATTTTTCTGTACAAATGGGATCCACGAACATATGAATCCCAAAACAAAAGAACCAGATATTACAACTTTACAAGCCTGAGATCTCATAACTTGTTGAATTTCTGCATTCTTAATCCTAAGAATGTGCAAACAATGTCAGATGCGCATCCATGACATTAGAGTTTTTCAATTTCTTGTTGGTAGCCTACCAAGCTGGCCGCTTGGCATGACATTAGAATTGCACATATGTTATTTGTGGAACTATGTAATATGTAACTGGTACATTGAAGATCTAGAAACCAGAAAGCAAAAACAAAACTATACAAATTATCCGGGCTAACCCTACCCTCGCCGCCGGTCGACATCGCCCGAGGCCGCACCGTCCCACCCCGCTCGCTGGTCACTTATGAGCTGCTCTCCCTCCCCATCTCTCTGTCTCCTCTGTTCTGTTACTCGATTGATGCATATGAAGGCTTGGATGGCTAATCATTGACGGATGTCTATGTATGCAAATGGGCTAATAGTGAATGGACGTATTTGGATTGATGTGCTAATGGTGAATGGATGTAGTTGCTTAATGTGCTAACAGTGGGTATTTTTTATGAAAATGGTGAAATTTTGATCTCTGTAGTTGCTGTTGCTACTGTCAATGCAATTTGAGATAGTGATATTGGCTATGTATGTGATACTGTTTCTAAATGAGACGTGTGTTGGTTCATTTTAAACTGCCAAAACATCTTATATTTTAGGAACGGAGTTACTCCCTCTGTTCATTTTTATAAGGCGCTGAAGAATTTCAGACAGCGTGCAAAGTAGCCTATTTTCAATTGTCTGAAATGACTTACAAAAGTGAACGGAGGGAGTAGTAGATTACAATTTTGACATGAATATTTTAGATGGAGGAAGTCAAGGGGCCCAAAGCAAATTTATTTTGACATGAATATTGTAGATGGAGAAAGTCAAGGGCATTGCAGTTTCAGTTTAAGGGCACTATTTTTTCGAGCAAATGAATCATATGATGATGATCAATGGACCATCATCCCTTTAATTAATTAATCAGTCTGTTGGATAGTAGCAGTAGCACAGTACAGACTTCATTTCTGTGTTGAGTTG